GTCCTTATTGTTGTTTTGATAAATTACTAAATATGTACCTTTCGCTTTATTGGCATCGGTATATAGATAACCTGGAGCTTGACCGGTTTTCCTACCAATGAGACCATGTAAATTGGGACCTACTTTGTGCTTGCCACCTGCTTCGACAGTATGGCACTGTGCGCATCTTTGGACGAAAAGCTAGAAAAACAAAATATACACAATTGCATCAGTAAGTTACCATTTATAAAACTATTATTCATCACATTATATTATTATATTATCATTTATAGAACTATCTTTCATCACATCCATTATAATATTGCTAAAACATTACATCACACTTGCAAAACGTTTAATACAAATATTTAACACATGCTCATTACCTTCTTTCCTTTCTCTGGATCACCTGCCGGAACACCCATATTTGTTTAATTCTCTAGTCTGGAAAAAAATATTCAATAATTATTTTCAAAAATTGTAATATTAACAAAACAGAGAAACTAATCTTTATCATCTGTGTTACATATTTTATTAAAGATTGTATCTCTCATTATTAATGTTTAATAAAAAATCCATTATCAAGTTTATTTAATGAGTGTATATAATAATAATATCGAGGATAAGAATAATATTAACAACAGATATAAAATATATAATTTTATTGAATAAAGTTAAGATTTGAATTGGAAGTTAAATTCTCAAATAACGAAGATAGTCATCGATAAATGATCGACCTTTCGATTACAATATGACGATATGTTGTTTCGCAAGAGCGATTTCGAAAAATTGGCGCCAACAAGAGAATATTTTTTCTACTGCTATTCTATGCGCTTTGCTTTGCCAACGTGAACGAAACACAGACATTGGTCAACATAGAACGAAAATATACTCTTAAGCATACTTCTAACTCAAATGCACACAGATGTATATAAAGAAGTCTCTCTTTTATATAATCTCTTAAATTTATTTATAATATTCTAAAAAATATTTATAAATCTTGAATCTAAATAAATAATATATATAATAAAAAAATTAATTTGCAGCATAACTCCTTGGTGTTAAAATTTTCATTTCCGTCAGTTTATATAACGACAAATTCTCTTTCTCTCTCTATTATATAATTTAAAAAGTTCTAAATATGTATATTATATTGTTATAAAAATTGTATGTAATATTTCTCGTTCTATTCTTTAAAATGTATTTGTAATATTTTTTTATTACATATATATGTTGTTTTTTTATTATGTAAGAAATGTAATTCTTTCGTCATATACAACGTCACAACGTATGACGTATCTAGAGAATTTTGAAGACACGTCACGCTCGCGGTATATATAACACGAAGCAATCATGTACGCAAATATTATCAAGATTACATTTATCATATTATAAATCAAAGAAACTCTTTGCAGCACGTGATACCAAAGTTCATTCAAGACAGATATCCGGATGAATAAAAAAAAACAATAATGTAACGGGATAAAGAAAGCGCAAAAAAAAGTATAGTCACGTGCAGCTAATCGTAAAGCCCGTATCAGACTACGCATTGAAGATTGAGATTCAAGATTCAAGATTAAAATTTGACCAATCAGGACAAAGAAATTTTAGTCCCTTTTGTTCTGATTAGTCAAATTTCAATCTTTAGTCTTCAATCTTCAATTTTCAATGCGTAGTCTGATACGGGCTTTAGAAGATTGAACTTTGAGCCCAATTTATAAACTATTAATTTTTGCCCGATTCTTGTTCTAAATCATCTATACTATAGATAGCGAAAAGCTATGATAAGCGCGATTAGCGCTATTTGATATTAAATTAATTGGTTGATAGTTGATTGAAGTCTCTCGAACTTGAAATTTCGATCAATCGGCGATAGTCACATTTTCGACTTCCCCCGCAACGACCTTGAGCAAAAGTGTCATACTTCGATTGTAAAGATAACTGGTTGAAACATTCTAACAATTCTAACACTGGCTCAGGGCCAGGGTTAGACACGTTACGTAAGTCGTTCTCGTCTTGTACGAGAAGGTCGGAAATGAAGCGACCTTCATTCAGAGAGGAAAGGCACCGCGAGATTTTCCAAATTTTCTTTTTGCTTTTCGCAAAAGTGCGTTTTTCAAATCCTGTACTTTCGAGAATAGGATTCCATTTCTGGTTATAAGATCGACTCGAATCATATTTCGCTGACGCGGGAGCGAGCGAACACGTGGTACAGATCATCGACGGGGATTAAGGTGAGATCAATTCGGAAAAGAAAAGAGGCTCGTCTATCTTCAATACGCACTGTGCGTGCACGCTTCCTGCGTGCGTGCTTGTTCTACTCACTGAACGTTCCTGTCACACGGAAAAATTGTAGCTAATTTGATCGTCGTCCGATCGTGAATAGCGGTCCCGATCGATGTAGAGCCACTGGTCTACCACAGGCTGGTCGCGACTACGAAATGCGAATTCGGGATAATTCAATGGATGATGCAACGCATTGCTCGTTGAGTACGGACACATGACGGCCACCGCTAGATGGCGACAAGAAATTGGCCGCCAACTTTTGTATTTGTTATATATTATCTATACTTAATCCTACTTATCTATTAGTTTTGATAACAATTGATGATATTTAGTTCTATACAAATTATTAAAAATATAATTATTAATAATATATATATAGACCCTGCCCTCTTCCTACCCCCTTCTAGAGACTCGCTATTTAAAGCATGTCACAAAACGGCAGTTTGTGATTGGTCCGCCATTTTTTGCCCATTCGCGTTAGTTTTATTGATTGACTAATCGGGACAAAGAAATCTTTACCCTGATTGGTCAATCAAACGGTTATACACTTGTAACGTCTAGAGAAATGCAGATTGAGATTGACCATATTTTTCTCCTTCGTAAAATTTTAATTAAAAAATAGCAGATTCTATTATGACGCGATTCTGATTAGAGTTTTTAAATTTTCATTGCGTTAAATACAAGATGCGACATTGGAAAATTAAGGTATTGTCCCATGACAGTCAGAATCTCGGAAAACGGAATTTCGGAAACGGAAAAATAATAGACCCAGACAGCACAAGGATGTCCTTAGGACGTCCAAAGGGCATCCAGGACATACATGTAGGATATCCTGAGGATATCCTATTTTAATCCTCGGATCTCCTCTGGATGTCCTGAGGAAGAGTAAATGATAGCCGAATACTAGCCTCTGGAGAATCCAGGGAGATCCTGTGAAACATCTGTGGAACATCTTAAGGATTTCTATAGGATATGTTAGGGATATTTTTCATACGTTAAAAGGAACAAATTCTAAAATTTAAATATAAATTAAGATTGCGTTCTGTTATTTACTGCCAATACTAAAAATCTAATACTAAAAATAGTTCACGTTCTTTAAAATTTGACGTTTTCGTGCTGTACATGAATATTTTAGGTTTGGCTTCCGGATTTGAGTCGTGTAATATTTTAAAAACAATCCAATATCTGAATTCCCTATGTTGGGATTGCATCAGAAATTGAACTGATAAAAAATAATTATATTTTTAATTTCCTGTTAGTTGCTCTTTGCAAGCTTTATATAATTCTCATGACCAAATCTCAAATACGAGTTCGCGCGTCGCATAGCGGTAAACAAACGAACTAGCGGTTGAATACTATTTTTTGTAAAGTTTTTGGAATGTTGCGCATAGTAACATTTCTCATGAAATATTAAATAAATAATAATTTTGAATATATGAAAATGTGCGCATCAAATTCCATTTTTAATATTAAACGAAATTAATGTTAACAATTAATTGCACATGTGTATATCCTCTGGAAATCCAAAGGACATCCAATATAATAGACAGGGCAGATATCCTACAGACATCCATGGGTTATCCAATGGACATTTATAGGACATTAATACTTATTATTACAATACTAAAAATTTCTAAATTATATTAAATAGCCTACATAAGCGAAAGTAATCATGTATGCATATTAAATTTTCATAAAATATATTTATAATAATATCTTAAAACATCCTACAAATATCCTGAACCATCCTGGACATATTCAGGATGATCCTGAGGACGTTTTGTGCTGTCTGGGGAGTGGGGATCAACCAATCAGAATTATTTGAAGAAATTTAGACTTATTTAAATCAGTTTAAATACAAAAGATTATCGGGATTGAATTCTCATGTATATAAGAAAGATTTCATTGTTAATAAATATTGTTCGGTAAGTATTTATTAATTTATAAATATTTAATTTTTTATCGATAGTTATTTTTTATAAATAGTTATTGTCTGTCAAAAATTGTGCGCTTGTCGAGCCAGAATTTTTGTGACCGAGTTTTCCATAGACTAACATATTTCCGGAATTTTTTAAAATCGAATGATTTATTCTTATCGTTTTATAACAAGAAAATAATTACTACAATAGAAGAATCCGTAAAAAATGAAATTTGGATGCATTTTTCATTATAACAGAAGATAATAAAGAAATTTTCTAAATTGAAAGACAGTTTGAGGTTAGAATAGCATTCCGTTTTCCGTAAGTCACTCCATGGGGAACGAGGCCATCGAATCGGATTAGCAAACTTTTCCGAAATTCCGACTGTCATGGGACGGCACCCTCAAAGTTTCTTTATTACTTCATTGCTAATAAAGGGAAATTAATAGCGTATTCGAATGAAGCAGATTAGATCGCTCTGAGAGCGATTAATGACGTCATTGCATCGTCTCTGCCAATAAAAGACTTGAATTCATAGTAAAATAGTGATTAATTGATCCTGCTTCATTCGAAAACACTATAAAATAGTTCTGAAAATCATGTACACTGTTTCATATAGAGTTTCTTTTCTATATGACAAATTTTGCTTTATGTCGTTCGTCCAAGAATGGCGATATTGACAGAATAATAATAATCAATCGCTCTCTTAATGCGCGAGGAAGACGTACTGAATTAATAAAAATTAAAAAAAAGAGCCATTAAAGAAAAGATTGGTAAATCCGATACTATTAATTTTTTTAAATTGAAGATAATTACGAGACATGGTAAATGTCACAAAAGGCATTTTAGTCGAATGGTAAGTTTATTTATATAAAAAATATAATTTGTGTTAATAATAAATTACGAACTAACAGAATAAGATTTATTCTATGTAATCCAAATCTTCAGAAATATTAAATTGTTTATTGAGATCCTGTTCCGAGATGTTAAATTTAGTTCTGCACCAACTCTGTATAGCAAAAATATTGTCCGTCCATATATTAGTTAGCTCCTTGGTCCTCTAACGAAGCATTACATATGTAAAATAGTAATATTTTCTCGTTAATTCCAATAAAATTTAATAATCTTATTAAGTAGAATACAAGAATGTTAATCAAAGTTGTCACTTGATATTTAAAAGGGAAATACATTATTAAATTAATAATATTAAATTATATAATTATATTAAATTAATTATTAGATTTATTTTAATGCTTGACTATACCTGTGCTTTCTCTTTTATTTCTACAATTGCTTCTGGATTAACTTCGCTGAATTTGGCAATTTGCTTTTTAATTTCTTGTTCCTCTTTCTTTAATCGTTCCACTTCCTCTAATAAGTTTCTTTTCTCTTCTGTATCATTCTTCAATTCCTATATAATAAATGATAATTGAGAAAAATATTAGATATGAATTTAATATTAATAATAATAGTAAATTAAATATGTAATGTTAATTATTGTGTCACCTTTTCTTTCTGTATTTCTTCCTTTAGCTTTTGAAGCTTAAATTCTGTTTCCACTATCTTTTTGCTTGTATCAGCTATTTTGCGTTCCGTTGCAGCAATAGTTTCTCTGTTAGAGTGTTATTTTTTAAGTATTTTCTTTTTTGTGGTTTGAACATAGCAATATATAATTTTCGCAGAATACTACCCTGGGAATTTCCAAAAGTATATAGAATTGCCAATTTTGTCGGATTGTACTAAACCATCATCCACTAATGCTTGTAGTACATCTTGGACAGATTGCACCACAATTTTCTTTTCCTTTGATGCAATCTTTTCAATTTCCTTTAGCGTAAAGAATTCTTTTTTTTCATGAAATATTTGTATTATTCTTAAACGTTTCTCATCAAGAGAAACACCTTTTTTTTTGGACATGATGGTATCTACAATATTACAAAGATCATATTGTGTATATTTAGTGATGCAGCTATGAAACAGTTTCTTCTACATTTGGATGAAACATCTGCACTGGGAAGAAAGTTTATAATTCAAGATCTGGATGAGAGACACCTATTTATATCTGCCGATATATTAGAAACTTTGCAAGCAAAAGTAGACGATCTAATGGATCAGATATCGTTTACATTGGCCGAAAAATAAATGTAAACAAAAGAACATAAAAATTAGCTCTTAAGATCTGTAATGCTAAAGTCAAAAAATGGCTCGAGAATCTGGTAGAATAAAGGATGCGTTTCAAAAGAGAGTCCTCGATGATGTTGCTCGTAAACGTAGGCAAAAGAAGGCCCTGGAAGCATTGGAGCAGGATAATTTTCATGATGATCCACACGCTGATTTAGGTATAAATCAGCCATAAAAATACACGTATTCCAAGTATCTTACAATGAATAATATCATAATTGATTTTCTTATTATAGTGATGAGCAAGAAAGTACCTAAATTTCAAGAGACACTAGACAATAGAGGTGGCAGCAGAAAAAAGAAAACCCGTTCTGCAGAGTATTACAAGCAACGCTTTCGCAAAACTTTTGCTCAGCTTGTCGAAGAAGATCTTAATGTTAATGCTAATCCACCGAATTATACCTGTGCTCAAGCACCACCATCTCGATTTCCCGAGAGGCATTTTTGTGCAGTATGTGGTTTTCCCAGTAATTACACATGCATACCTTGTGGTGCTAGATATTGTTGCATAAAGTGTCTAGGTACTCATCTAGATACAAGATGTATGAAATGGACAGTTTAAAAATTGGCACAATTTTATTTTGGAATAAAATTAATACACCTCAAAATCTATGGCCATTTTCTATCAACACCTATCGAGTTGTTTAGGAGAAATGCATAAAAATACATTGTGTATATATTGATGAAACATAATTGATAAAAATATTTATAAAATCTAATAATTTGTAACAATAAAAACCACTGTTTTGCACTTAAAGTTTGACATACCTCTAAACTCTGAAAATAATTCCAAAAAATCATTCAATTTGTTTTCGTCGAAATTCACAATATAAAGTAAGTATTACCTAATTACACAAATAGTCTAAATAATCTTGTATGAAAGTTTATAATGTAACAAAAATTTGAACTAGAAAGATTGTATTTAATAACAACTGTAGTCGAAGTGACATATGTGGCTTTATATACGATATCTTTCATTCAATCTCTTATTATGAACTTTTTGTAACGAAGTTGTCTTTTCAGTTGCACTTTTTTGTATTTAATTTCTTCATTAGTCGCTTTCCATTTACATCAAAACTCAGATAATTCTCACTTGCGTTCTCTCTCGCTCGCACGTAGCATACATGCGAGTGAGAGAGAACGCAAGTGAGAATTATCTGAGTTTTGATGTAAATGGAAAGCAACAATTATTTCTCTTTTCAAAGTGTACATACATCTACGTAATTTTTATGCACAGAGAAAGTGTTAACAGGTAACAGATAGATACCACTGACTGCACAGGCCAATCACAGCTATTCCTCTGAAGAATGAGATGACTGTGATTGGCCAGTTTTAGAACTACAGATGTATTAAACCCGATTAATTTGGAGGATCCACTTCGACCAAACTCCGATTAAATTAATCGACGTCCGATATCCAATAGGAGAATTCGTTTTATATAAAACGAGTAAAGCCCGTATCAGACTATGTATTGAAAATTAAGGATTGAAGATTAAGGGCCAATTTCACCAAGCTCGGTTAGATTAACCGACGGTTAAAATTAGTAGGGTGGCCAACAGAAAATAGAGGTGAAGAAAAACCAAGTATTCATATCATTTCAGTTGGAACCCTGCCAATTTTAACCGTCGGTTCATCTAATGCTGTGTTCCGATTCCCCACCCGGGTGCACCCGATATCATAGTATATGTCACGTATACTATAATATCGGGTGCACCCGGGTGAGGAATCGGAACACAGTCTAACCGAGCTTGGTGAAATTGGCCCTAAAGCCAGTATCAGACTACGCATTGAAGATTGAGATTCAAGATTCAAGATTGAAATTTGACCAATCAGGACAAAGAAATTTTAGTTTCTTTTGTTCTGATTAGTCAAATTCCAATCTTTAATCTTCAATCTTCAATTTTCAATGCGTAGTCTGATACGGGCTTAATACTTCTACAATATTGTTAGAAGCAAAATGATAAAGAATTTGATTTCATACTTATAATTGTCTTTATTATAATTTTATTACTTATGTAAATATATATATGCATATATAAATAAAATATATTTTTGAATATATTTTTGTTCGCTTTTATATCTTTAAAAATTAATTTAACTTTTTAACTTAAATTTAATAATAAATTGAATATAAGGATGACAAAAAGACTGCACGTTTTTACCAATTGATAACGCCATATTGCAATTTAGTTCTAATTTTTCCAAGGGTAAACTTTTAGATGGCGCTAAAAACATTATACCAAAAAATAACATGGGAGTTTGACGATTCTGGTTTTGCGTTGTGATGTTCGATACTTATTAAAAGAGAATGGTTTTGAAATGTTTTTTGTGTAAAACTACTTATAAAAGGAATGAAAAGGATGTACAAATGCATAAGTAAGTATATTTTATCTTGTATAGAACATTGTGTTCGAAACGGCTGCAAGCGCAGCTGTTAAATTATAAAAGGTAAGGTTAGATTATGTTTACTTGCGTTTTATACATAAGAGACATTTAAAACATTAATAAATATTTTATAACAATAATAACGTTGAATTATACAAAATAATAAGTAATATATTCATTATCATTTTCAGAATTCCAAAAAAGGAACACATAATTAAATTATGGCTATCTGTATTAAATATGGAACAAATAAATCCAAATGCAAGACTTTGTTCAAAACACTTCACAAAAGAGGATTTCATGATGAGTGTAGTTGGGGAAAGAAAATATATAAAACCTGATGCAGTTCCATCAATGTATCTACAAAAAGATAAGAAAAACACTGGATGTAGCAGCTTTAAGGAAGAGAACATACAGAATACATCAATGAATCTACAGAAGAATGAGGAACACACTGGATGTAGCAGCTTTAAGGAAGAGAACATACAGAATACATCAATGAATCTACAGAAGGATGAGGAAAACATTGGATGTAGCAGCTTTAAGGAAGAGAACATACAGAATACATCAATGAATCTACAGAAGGATGAGGAAAACACTGGATGTAGCAGCTTTAAGGAAGAGAACATACAGAATACACAAAACTGCAATATAAAACATACATCTTTAAAAAGGTAAAATTAGTTTACAAATAAGACATTGAATAATAAATATTGTTTACGTATTATTTTCATGTTTATATGTTAAGTTTATATATTAAGTTATTATATGTTAATTGTATATGTTATAGATCCTTATCAACGGAACACTCAGCTGAAGAAGAACCTCTAAAAAATATTAAAAGAATTACTGACATAGATATCAAAAAGATTTCACAATCACCATTAGAAGCAGAAGTATGTTTGGAAGTACTGATTGAAGAACTGCACGAAAAACAGAAGAAAGTGAAACATTTTAGAGATAAAGTTGGCAAACTGCAAAAAACAGTGAAGAATTTACGCTCATTAATAAAGATTTTAAAAGATAACAAGTTAATAACAAGCACAGCTAGAGATATATTAAAAGTAAGTTAAAAATTTCAAATAAACAAGTTCAAATAAACAAGTTAGTATATATTTTATACAACATAGTAAATATAGTAAAAATACCTCCTTAAGATGAGACAGTTTTATTTTGTTTTTCAGTTGATAGAATCCCCCGCACTTGTAGCAATAGTACAAAAAATACTTTCAGGCAAACATAGATTTAATGCTTTTCCTCCAGAATTAAAAACCTTCGCAACTACATTACATTTTTACTCTCCTAAAGCCTATGACTTCGTCCGAAGAATATTTATAAATATTTTACCACACCCTTCAACAATTCGTAAATGGTACTATTCTATCGACGGATCACCTGAAATTTCACAACCTGCACTAGATTGTTTAACGAAAAAATCACGCGAAGCTGTTGAAAAGAAACGCACTATTCTTTGTGGTTTGCAAATTGATGATATGTCTATTAGAAAACATATTCACTTTAATGGAAAAGAATACATAGGTTTTATCAATTTTGGGACACAAATAGATAACGATGAATTACCCTTAGCTAAGGAAGCAGTTGTCATTATGGCAATAGCTATTAATGAACATTGGAAAATATCAGTTGCATATTATTTCATCGATGCATTGACTGCAAATGATCGTGCAAATATTATTACAAACGTTTTAAGAAGTATCCATGAAACAGGTATTGACATCATTTCATTAATATTTGACGGTCCACAATATAATTTTGCTATGGCAAATATATTAGGTGCAAATTTACAAGTTGATAAAGCGTTACAGGTATTTTTTCCGCATCCCATTACCAAAAAACCAGCATATATCATATTAGATGCATGTCATATGATTAAATTAGTTAGAAACTGTTTTGCTAAATACTGCATACTGCAAATATACATAAAGTCCTTCAAAATAAGAACAATGAAGAGATACGATATGATTTTGTGGAGAAGTTGATACACATACAAGAAAAATATGGACTACATATAAATATCAAAGTTAGACTTCGACACTTAAACTGGCAGAACGAAAAAATAAAAGTCTGTCTCGTTGTCTAAGTTTTAAGTAATAGTGTATCAATTGGAATACAGTACCTGCGAGAATTTTTTGAATTCTCAGAATTCGCAAATAGTGAGGTAATAGAAGTACTGCTTAATCTTTAAGAGGATGCCGGATATCGAATATTAGTTAAAATGCAAAATATTTTTGTTGATTATAGATATCAACAAATCATTTTCCATAATTAAAGTATACATAATAACGGAGTGCGGGGTTTATGATTTTATATAAAAAGTGAAAAAAAATTAAAAAATTACAGTTTTGTTATCGGTTAACATTTACTTAATATAAAAAATTTGTAATCTGCACGTGCCTAACAAGTGGACTCCGCACTCGGTATTTTATCAAAGAATATCAGTGAACTTTGAGAAGTGAGTTTAGAAGCTTTATAAAAAATATTTTACTCTGCAAAATTTTGCACACCGAAATGTTTTTTACTAGGCTTCTAAATACATTTTTAAACGTTCACTTATATTCTTTCATGCATTTCCGAGTGGAGAGATATCTTACTTTGCACGTACACATTGCAAAACTTTTATATTAAGCAAATATATAATTATTATGGCCGGTAAAACCTCCGGCATCCTCTTAATGATATTTTTGATCTGTTAAATTCTCGAAATAAGTTTTGTACTACTCCATCCAAACGACTTATTACTACGGAAAATTTAATAGAAATTACACAAAGAATTAATTGTTTCATAGATCTTATTGTTTGAAATATCGAGGAATTTCAATTTTACATTCAAAACGCAGAACTGGATTTTTTGGATTAATTGTTACTTTAAATAGTGTCGTAGAAATATTTAAGAATTGGATACAATCAATGTTGCTGCAATATAATTGCAATGATCTGTGCTGTATGGGTAGTAATATATCGTATCTTTTAACATATAAATTGTCACAGGACCACTTAGAATTATTTTTTTTCTACAGTACGAAGTCATTGCGGTCGCAATAATAATCCAACTTATATGCAATTCATGACAGTATTTAAACAATTGCTAACCCATGCACAAGTTGGTAGTTCGAAATATGCGAATACCGTTGCTCAGAACGATACTATCCTTTTAAACGTTACTTCCACTAATATACATAGAGGTATTGATGATATCTATATGACTGACGAAAATCACACTGAAGATTTGAATAATAATTATCACCTATTCGATCATCGTCAATTGTATCCCAATTAAAAATTACATTTTTATTTTCAAATGGCGCGGTGAGCGTGACGTGCGTTTGCGCATTGCGAGCAAGGGGTCGTTCTCACTAAGCGCGTCAAGCGGTCGCGTCACGACACGACGCGACGGCAGTTCAAGACATGGCGTTTTTTGTTATTCACACTGAACGCGTCGCGGCAAATCAACGCATGCGCAGAATGTACTAGTTCGCCAGGTTATTGGTTGCAATAAACGTGTACATAACCTTTAAATTAAAATATAGTACAAATCTGATTATCTGTTTTCTGTAAAACAGTATATGACCTAAAACAGTGTATTAAATATCGGAGACCCACGATTGAAACAGAGTGAGTATAGTATGTATGTATGAAATTATGTTATTATGGCAAACGCGAGAATGTCGAGCAACCAAACGAACCAAACCGACGCGTCGCGCAA